CCAATCTGTTTTTAAATTATGTATCATGCTGTGTCTTTGTTTTTGCTCAAGCCGCTCTCCAAAAACTATTTTGTCATGCCCAACAGAGTACCTTTCTAATTTTAGATGGGATGCTGCTGGATTCATAAATCACTAATAAAAGCCAACTTAGTTTTTAGAATCATTTTAATGAAATTTATTTTTTGACACCAATCATGAGAAACTTTAGTCAAAATATTTGAAGCTTGAACAAACACGACCAACTTATTGGCTGGTCTCTTAATAAGGTGTTACAATGGCAAAAATGAGTTCATTTGTGCATTACATTTATCGAGTGCCTACTCCCTCCTAAATGATTTGAGAAGGGGAAAACATAACCAAAATAAACTAACATCACTATGGAACATATTTATTCTTTACTAACTGAAATCTGTTGGTAATGTACTTTGCCCTTTTCATTTAATGATGATATTGGGCATCCATTTCAGAAGTTTTGCAGTCACTGCATTTGTCTTGATGAAGGCCATACTGGGTTTCATTGCACTTCCTAACTTTTTGAGAATAGAGATCAGTTTACCTAGAATGGAATCTGGACTGGCCCTTCTAGCACCCTAAGCCCTTGTTTGGCATATTCTTCCTCTTATAAAGAGGGAGACTTACAGTTGTTAACTAAATTTTGCCCAGAGTCTAAGGACAAAGGTAAGAATGTTTCATCAGATAACAGATGGTTTTCACAGGGCTACTTGGTGTATTGTTCAGGCTTTAAACTGGAAACAAAAATAAACTCTTCCTGGCAGTCATTTAACCCAGGGAGGTAAAGATTTTCCAAAGCAGATTATTTTCGGATACAGTACATTAAACACTGTACAGAAACAAAAACACTCCTTGGGAGACAGACAAGAGAATGGGAAAGTTCGAAGCCATCCTGGACAACTTAGCAAGACCCTGTCTTAAAAATTAAAAAAAAAAAAAAAAAAAAAAAAAAAAAAAAAAAAAAAAAAAAAAAAAAAAAAAAAAAAAAAAAAAAGATTTAAAAGGCTGGAGATGTAGCTCAGTTATAGAGTGCTTGCCTAGAATGTATAAAGCCTTGGTTTGAATCCTTAGGACCACAAACATAAAACAAAAAACAGAGCCTGAAGTAATGAGGGGAAATTTATTATTGCTCACAATATATATTTACAGTACTGTTGTAATTGGCTTTAAAAAGGTAAGGTGGAGTACTGAAACCAAGTGACATATCACAATCCCTTCTTATATTATCTGTGCTCCATTTTCAACCTGTTATGCAACTAATTTCAAGAGCATCATTTGTGAGCATGATACATCATTTAAAAATCTAGGTTACTATGAAGAAATGATAAGGACATTTCAGTCATTTTGCGTATGATATTGATAGGGTGACTAAAATGAGCATAATGACAGTATCTTTCCCTCAGTTTAAGAATAGGAGCATTAACTAAGTTATATAGATGTAAAGCACTTTAAATAGTTCTGTATTCCAGGAGTCAGATAACTACCTTATTAGGAAGCATGAGAACGGCCAGGAATGTAGCTCAGTGGTGCAATGCCTGCCTAAGTGAGAGGCCCCGAGTTTGATTCCCGGTACAAAAAAAAAAAAAGAGCATGGAATTAGCCCCATCTTACTGATGAGAAGTGGAAGCACAGAAAGATCAAGAAAGTTGCTGCGAATCATGCAGCTACCAACCACTGATCCAGGATTCACACCCAAGGTGTCTGGTTTCAGTCTCTGTATTCTTTTTTTGGGGACCTAGCGCTTGCAGCAGTCTCTCTATTCTTAATTGGTTAGTGAAACTTGCTTCCCAGATTTCCAGCAAAACCTGTCTGCCTGCCTTCCCCCTCCCTGGTCTTCCTGCTCTGCTCTGTGCCTAGTCCCAATAGCCTCAGCCTCTTCTGAGACATGGTTGTACATTCTTAATTATTTTCTAAAGCAAGTACTCAGAACTCCAAGCAAGTTAGGGTTTACCCTTTCTTACCACCAAACAACCCTCTGCTGTATAACATGATTCTTCTTGTGTTGCATTGAAGTTTTAGGGAAAAAGTCAGAGCCCCAGATAAGATAGACCGGTGTGTTCTTTATCCGGCAGCAAGGGGGAAACCAAGCTTGTGTCTGGGAGTTTTGAGGAAGTTGCCAATTAAAAATGTATGTATGTATTTAGCAGGGCCTGCTGGCTCAAGACTACAGTCCCAGCACTCTGGGAGCCTGAAGCAGGAGGATTGCAAATTTAAGCCTGGGCAATTTAGCACTTAATGAGATCCTGGCTCAAAATTTAAAAACATTGGGCTGGGGATATAGCCCAGTAGAAGGCCCTGGGTTGAGTCCCCAGTACCACAAGAAAACAAAAAGTATTTTATATGTGTTGAAACCAATATCTTTTGGTTTCATATCTCATAGTTTTGGGCTTTTTGATTGTCTGTATTTTTAAATTACAAGTTTAAAATGCACTTTCTGTTTTTTAAAAATATCTATTTCTCTCACATTGCTGATATGTAATACTAATATATGTTGTGATAAAGAAAACCTTATTCATAAAAGTATAAAACACATTGCCTTTTTTTCACTTGCCAACAGAATATACAAGTAATATTATAGTAAATCTGCAAAAAGTATTTTTCTGCTTTACCGCAAAATGTCTAAACTTCACATCTTTTGGGTAAGCCATTATTTTTATGTCATGTGGCTCACACAGAGTAGCACCGTGCCCTTGAATGAGAGTTATTCCAGCATCTGACAGAGCACAGATTACTTTATTTAAATACAGCAGTTGGACCTTGACGATGTTAATGGTTTTGTTAAGAGGACCTGGAGGACAGTTGAAATACAGTACTAAAGTACCTAAAGGCAACTTTCTAATTTTTAATCAAGTTCAACATGGCTGCCATTCCCTTGCCATTTCTGGTATGTGGAACTTTCTATTCACTGACATAAACCAATTTCATTTTCTTAGCCCCTCAGTGTTTCCATCTCCAAGGCTCATTTCACTTTTCCATTTACCTTCATAATCATAATTCTGCCATTTTTCAAACTGGGGAGTCATCCTCTGCTCCCCATTCTGTGACCCATGTCTAGCAAGTTTTGTAAGACTTTTCAATTCATGTGGCTTCTCTCAATGTCTTTTTCTTTCTACCCCAAGCCAGTCCTTGGTTCACAACCTCTGTCACTTGGACAAAGAGACCCTGACTGATCTCTCGGTCATTATCCTCTGTAATCCATTCTCCATTAGCTTGCAAGCATATTTATCTAAGGTAACTGTGATGATACCATTCAGTCACTTGTGTAAACCATCTTAGGTTATTTTAATTATGGAATAGGTGCTATCGATAAGGTCCTGGAGGATAAAGTTCCTGTAGAATTTTGTGATCCTCTTCTGAAGAAGCTTACTTGCTTCACCTGTACTTAGGTCACACCAGTCCCCTACTTTAAAGCTTCACATCACCCTCATTTTCAAAGCTGGGAGACTTCTTCAGGTTTTTTCCAAGTATTGATTTCCTGATCAATAGACTGAACTCAGCTGTTCCCTCATCTGTGAGACTTTCTGCAACTTGTTTTGTAACTAATCTCCTTTGCCTTGTCAGAATCCGCGTGATAAACACCTGAACTATGACATCAACCTGAGAAAACTGTGGTTTTTAGAAGGCATGATGGACTGAATGTTGGTGTCCCCACAAAATCCATATGTTGAAACCTAACCCTAACGTAACATTAGGATGTGGAACCATCACTTGGGAGATGATTAAATTGTGAGGATAAGGACAGCTTGAGTGTGATTAGTATTATAAAAGAGGACCCAGTGCCTCTTGGCTTGTCCACCACACAGGATTACAGCAGTAGTATAGCCATCTGTGAACCAAAAAGAGGGCCCTCCCTAGACAGGGAACCTACCAGCACCTTACACTTAGAGTTCCTAGCATCCAGATTACTACAAGAATAAATTTCTGTTCTTTATAAGCTTCATAAGGAGGCGGGGAGGGGGTGAAGGGAGGGCAGGGACAAGGGGAAAAAATGAGAACCAAGACCTGTAATGTACAGGTACAAGATCCCAATGATGAATGCAACTGTACTGTATACCTAAAATGTACCAATAAACTCAATGAGGAAAAAAAAAATATAAGCTTCCCAAGCCTATAGTACAGTACTTTGTTTTAGAAGCCTACACAGACTTGGATAGCAGGTTTCCCTGCTGATGACTATGGGCTACTTGAGAGTGGGAACCTGGCACTAATCTTCTTGACTTATTCCTAGATAGTTACATCATAAATATTTTTCAAATGAATATTTCAGTCAATATGTATGATATAGCTAATCATTTTCATGATTTTCTCCTAGAGTCACAGACATCTAATTGCAGGATTGCAGATAGAAATACCACCAGAGCCAGTGTGATCCCTTAAATAGCAGGAGTGAACAAAGTAAGGACTGCATTGAGCTAGCAAGGACATGTCCAGTCTCATAAGGCAGCCTCCCCTTGGGTCCAGATGATTGTTACCACAGAAGAGTGTGACAAGAGTGAGCCAGGTGTGGCAGTGCGTACCTATAATGCCAGCACTGAGAGGCTGAGGCAGGAGCATTTCAAATTCAACGTCAGCCAGGGCTATATGGGTAGTTTAAGGCCAGCCTGATGTACAGAGTAAGACCTTGTCTCAAAACTCCAAGCAACAACAAAAAAGTGACATGTGGATATCCAGTTGCATTTGTTTTCAAGAGAAATAAGAGAATTAAGATTTAAAGGTAAATACCCCAATTTTTAAATACTAGCAACCAATTTACATTTTGGGGGGCAAAATTCTTAAAATACCAGTTTATCTGTAGTCTGAATATGTCCCTTGAGGCCCCAGTTTGCTGCCTTTGCTCGGTCACATTCCTTAATTAGCCAGAGCCAGATCCAGAAGGTTTGAGATTATCTCGAGGCAGGACCTTTCTCTGCTCTCACATACCTCCTCTGCTAGGTGGTAATCACCTTCCCAAACATGAAAGCCAACACCACGGAAAACCCTTCTGCTGACCTCCTCCCCTTCACATCCCATTACGCCTGACTGCTATTAACTGCATTGCCTGGGTGACCATATGTCCCTCTTCCTTCCCAGAGGTGGCTGAAGCTGTCCTGGAGAAGTCGTCGCGCTTGGTGGGCGTTCCCTCTGGCCATCCCGCAAGTACTGCTCATGGCAGTTATCAAAGGATTAGGTTCCTGCTCGGAGCTGTATTCTTCCACTACCCCAAGAATGAGAGGTTATTATCTCCCTGGAAGCTAGGAATTAAATTGTCCTCAGGCTCCAGCCCATCTGGGTATTAGTAATCACTGCAGAGAAACACACAAAACATTGCCAAAGAGGTTACTTAGACAAGAGAATTTTCATAATTAATGGCTATATTTGCTGTTTCATAAATGATTCATTTCTCTAAATATAGCATTTTCATGTCTGCTTCTCAGTTATATATGAATCGGCAATATCTCACTTTACCTGAATGTCTTTATAAGATACCTCTTTCTTAACCAGTATAATTACTACCCCTGCTGAGCAGTATTAATTCTTAGAATAATTTTTTAAGCCTAAACTGTTCAGGCTTTTATAATCCTTTAAAAACAAAATAAAATTATCTGTTCTTTTTTGGGAGGCTTGGGGCCTGAGCTCTGATTCCAATAGCCTGGGGTACCAAGAGCTTATGTCTATAGGTGGGTCTGGATAGGAATTTATAACCATGTGGGACTTGTCTTGTGATTAGAGCATTGCCCTGTTTCGGGCAGTGTCATCCATGCACCTGAGGCCTCTGGGTGCCTGTGTTCCTGAGGTGGCAGAGGGATGCTGATGGAAATGGAGGAAGGTAGGAGATTCTCCTCTAACTTGCATGGCTAAACAGAGTACCTGTGGCCCAACAAACGAGCAGGTGGCTTTGTATTTGATATTTTATATTGAATGCTTGGTATGTGCCAGGCACTGTTTTCACCATAGAGCATTTAATTCTCACTGTCCTTCTATGATGGGAAGTGACAATTATCCCTATTTTGGAGGAAGAAAGCACCTTTCCCAGAAGCACAGCTAGAACTAGTAATTAGAAGAGACCAAGTTTGAACTAGGTCTTTTAGATCATTGTCCCTGTTCCCACCTTCTGCACCATGCTGAGTTCCTCATGGTGGGAGGGGTGGGAGGTGTTTAATGAGTTGACACCTGTCAGATATTTAGCACAGTTCCTGGCACATGGGAGTTCTTGAAAAAAAATGTCAGCTGTGACTATCTTCACTGACTGTCTTTGTAGATCCTTTTGGAAACAGTGCCAATTAGGAGTTCTCTGAGTTAGTGGCATTTGTGGCAAGGACTACTACTTAATACCTGTGGGTGCCAACTTTGCATTTAGTTCTAGAGGCTCAAACTATTTGTCATATCAGATGAAAGTCCTTGTAGTCAGATTTATGAGCAAGTGAAAAGCAGGTCAGGAATTTTCTGCTGAAACTCAGGTGGGGTTGATTTTCACAACATTGTGACTAGAATATTTCCACAAACAAAAAGAAGTACAAGTTTCCCAAGGGTCTGAGGGTAACAGAATAAATCAGTTGCTGCTGTTTTTATATTCTCATGGCCGTATTTAGGTCATAACTTTGAGCTTCATCTGTCACACACAAAGAATTTTTGACTTTCCAGTCCTTGAAGTTCTGTATTCCCTTGTTTTTTCAAAGAAAGAAACCCTAGATATGGTTCCATTGAGGGTAAATTGGTAGGTTAAAGCAAAACACAAATTAATTAATTTTGCCACACATCTCTCCCAGGGTAGATGTGGTTTTCTTGTAAGAACTGAAAAAAATGAGTATAAATTTTCTGTATTGAAGAGGCAGTAGCTGCCCTTCCCCTTTTTCCTTGAACATTTTTTTCTCCCTGAATTTTAATGCCAGCTTCAAAATACCAATTCCTTAGGTGACTGAAATGCTCACACACATAAACACACACACACCTTAGCAACCCATAGAATTTAATTCATGATGTATATATAGCTAGGGAACTGCCACTTGTAGAAGTAACTCCACTCAGCACTGCCCCTCACTACCTGTGCTTATCTTGGAAAGAACACTGACAATGATAGTTCCCTTGTAGACTTGATAAGATGATCAAATGAGTTAATAGCATTTGAAGTGCTCACGACATTCTCTGCGACATAGACAGTTCTCACCGAATGTAAGGTACTCTTCTCCCCTCTAGATAACAGCAGAATTGATTTCTGATTCACTCCATTTACTCAACAGCATTTAGGCCGTTTTCCGGGGAGACAGCTCAAGCTCTTATCCACTTGTTACCTCTAGTTTAATTTTTAAGAAGAATGTTTTTTTTCTTTGTAGAAGATTGGAAAATAATGTCACTAAGTTTATGATGATTCATAGTTCAGCAGCATTTTGTTTATTTTTATTTTTTAATTTTGGTACCGGGGATCAAACTTGGGACCTTGCACTTCTGAAGAAGACAGCAGAACCACTGAGCTAAATCCCCAGCCCTAACACTTTTTTTTCAGATTTTAAAAAGAAGCATCTGTGGAAGATTCTGTTCAGTTGGAGTACTTTAAGGGGCAGTGATACTTAGGGTGTGTTGAGTTCTGACTTTATATTGGAGCAGAAAAAGGGAGTGTAGCCACTGATTCTATTTGAATCAATAAATAGTTTAGAAAACCAATTTTTCTCACTTTATATTTAGAGGAAATAAGGGTTTTCTTTATACTTAGTAAATAAACATTTGCCTTGGAAAAGCAAAGTAAAATGACTATCTTGATAGTGATTGAACTTTTCAGAGCCAAGGTGAATTTAGAAGAATCAAGTCTCAGGCTGGTGATTTAGCTCAGTGGTTCCATCACCTGCCTTGAAAGCGCAAGATCCTGAGTTCGATTCCCCAGTACAAAACAAAAGAAGAAGAACCAGGTCTTTCTACTAAAGCTGTGTGGAGTTTGGAATTTGAAATAATATAATATATGGAATAAGGGGCTAGGGAAGTAGCTCAGTAGTAGACCTCTTGTTTAGCATGCACATGGTCCTAGATTCCCTCCCCAGTACCACAGGATGAGGGGTGGAGGTTATTAAGAGACTGACCTTAAGTTGATATTTAAATATCTAACAATTAAGCTTGTATTTTATCATCTAAATAATAATCAAATGTCTGACTAAACAGGTCTGCAAGGTTGGGGCTGTCCTCTTCCCACTAGATGGACATTCCTAACTTTTTGATACTTCATTAGTGCTTTCCATGAGCTGTACTCAATGTGAAATGGCCATGGTCCTTGTTCTTTCACAGCTCTGCTGAGTCATCACATCACAGACCTCTGAACCCTGTGCTTCTAGGAATAGATGCACATGGGAAATAGCACAGCCTGAGACAGGCAGAAAGAGAGCAGGATGCAGAAGTGTGCTCACAGCTCTGCCATATTTAGCTGCATGACTTTGTTCTCGTCACAGTCTTCCAGAGCCCTGGTCTTATCCAGAAAGTAAGGTTTGCAGAACCCCTGGGGCAAGTTAGGGCAACATTGGAGTTTAGTGTCCACTAAGGGAGACAGAAGACAAAGCACTTCAAGGGGCAGTGATTCATGGTTTATGTAATTATAATGGCTGAAGGGTCAGCCTGGCAGGTAATTCTTGGAGATCAACCATGTTTTCTTTTTATGCAAAAGCAAAAACAAGAAACACCTGACTGCAGTGCAGGGCTAGGTGCTAGTGGTCAGAGTGCTGCCAAGCTCTGGAAAAAGCAGCAAGCCTCTTGTCCAGAGGACAGTAGGGAGGGATGGGTGTCATGAATTGGTCTTGAAGATGGCTTCTGTTTCAGCTTTCCTTAGGAGACTATTCCATTGAATAGTCCACCCAGACTCATTGCTTGGGACTGTGGAGAGACAGAAGGTATTTCCTGCCACCTTCCCCTGCCAGTCTAGTTTGGTTTGCTAAGGATAGATATAAATGGAACATACCCAATGTATGTTCTGTATAATGAACTTCCCACAACCCTCCTAGTGGCTTGGCCTGGGATAAGTGTGACCTTCTCTGGCACAGGCAGATCTGAGCCACCCAGCCTTCCACCTTCCCAGCACTCTTTCCCTGACTTACCTAATTGGAAGAGAAGCAGGCAGAGAATTCTCCTCTTCCTCATACCCAGAACACAACTTGCCTACTCTTTTACATTCAGCACTTCCCTGCAGTCCAGCATGGTCTGCCACAGACTGGTGGATGTCCCCATGGTGTAACGGGAAGGGGCTGAGTTGGGGTTCAGGGTAGGCCTCATTATGAATCCATAGTGCACCTTTCTGGCTGTGGCACTTGGGGTGAGTCACTTAGCTCTGATCATAAGTGTCATGGTAGTAATAATTGTTATGCAGGTAGCCTCATTGCATCCTCAAGAATCATATTTTATTCTCAAGCCATATGCAGATGTCTTTTCCTTAGAAAAGAGAACGTGAAGGTAGGGCAGGGAAATAGACAGGAAACCCTCCCTCTTCCCACCCCTCCAGAGTGTGTGATAAGTGCCAAAAGCCTATTTGACTTTGAGAGATCAGTAAGACTTCTCATCTCCTGGCACAGGCCCTTGGAGTGAGGATAGTTAAACATCAGGGGCAATGATCTACCTTAAAATAATAAATCATACAAAAGACTGCAGTGGATGAGATGAATAAAAGTAGACTTTAAAACTGTTTTCCTTCCAATCAGATGATTCTAGGCAATTGGAAAGATAAAAGTCTTATGTCAAAGCTCTGCAAAATATATAAACTAATGTTTTTTCATATGTATAAATGGAAGTGAACTTTTAAATTACTGCATGTTAAGACATTTTTAAAAATAAACTATCAAGGCATCTGAAACATTTCTGTAGAACCCCAGGGTTTGGAAGATTAATTGAAACACTTAGATCGTGCAGCACTCAAATCTCCATTTGATTTCTCTGTGCCTGTTTGGTTATAACGTGTATGGTGGACCTTTACTTATAAGCTTGATTGGTTCCTGAGGGCTGGGTGTAACTCAAGTTGGTTGTAAGTCAATACATATGAGACCTGGATGTTTACCCATGCTATAGGTAACAAGAGGCAGATGAATCTTTCATTAACCTAATTAGCCCAAGTTGTTCTTATGTGAGGCCGGTTGTAACTTGAGGGTCCACTGTATGTGTTGTCTTAATGGGGAGCTATACAATTTTTAGTACCAAAAGCCATTTAATGGTAAGACTGGTAAAATCTGAATAAAATTTGTAATCTGGGTGACAGAAATGTGGATTTCTTGGTTTTGCTATTTTACCATAATTATGTAAGATTGTTACCAGTGAAGGAAGTTGGTAAATGGGGCTTGGAATTTCTGTAGCTAACTTTGAGTTCATAATTACTAAAGAGTTTTTTTTCTTGAAAAGTCATTTGAAAATGATAGTCTTCTACTCATCTGTTGAGAGGATATGTGACTGTGTGAGTAGCACAGTGTACAGACCACATTTAAAGAGTTTCCATTTAATTCACTTAATTTTTTGTTTTCTTGCTACTGAGCTCCATAAACTCCACATTTTTTCTGTTGATGACTATTATGTTGCCAAAGATTTAGAAATGAAACAGCCAATGGCAAATCAAGTAGAGCTCTCTTTCAGGAAATGTGTTTTAGACAGCTGCTTAATTGATAAGATAATGGTGCTGAAGCCCCAAAATTGAGTTTGCAGCCACTCGACACAGGAAAAGGTATATAGATGATGTGGCATGTTTCCCTGAAGCATTCGTTATGCTTACAACATTCAGTAATTGGACCAAAGCAGTGCCAATGTGGTATGAAATTATTATGTGTTTTCAGTGTCCAAATCAGAGGCTCCTTTTATTGCCCAGTGCGATGAATATTCTACAGGAAAAAGAAAAAGAGAGAAAACTAAAAGTACTTTTTATAGAATACATTTTTGGTCCATTCAGTTCCCTGTATATAAAGTAAAAATGGGCAGCTATAGTGAAGTATAGTTCACTTGGACTTTACAATGTGCTGTAAATTAATGCCATGTTCTTTGATAAAATCAATGGTGGTTTTGCTCATTATCAGTTAGACAAATGAGACGGAATTCCCTGAGCCAGCTTATCTGTCTGCATTGTAATTGCCAAAGAGTTCAGGCTCCAGATTAACCTGTAAGAGTGACTGCCTCATGTATTTTGACTGAGAGGATCATGATGGTGATCAAATCTGTCAGACACCTGTGAAGGTGAACAGAGCTTGGAATAACTTCTTAACTTTTCCAACTCTTTTTAACTCCTCATTCAGGAAAATGAAAGAACGGGATCAAACAAGGTCCTTTGCATTAAGTAGTGCTTTAGTTTATGCCAGCTGTGGAGACTGCCTTGACTAACTCCTGAGGTGGAGACTTAAATGCTCAGCTTTCCGAAAATCACTCCATCTGATCTGCTTTTCTGTTTCTTCTCCAGGGTTATCAATGCTGGGAAGAGCACACACAATGAAGACCAAGCCAGCTGTGAGGTGCTCACTGTGAAGAAGAAAGCCGGAGCTGTTACCTCAACCCCAAACAGGAACTCCAAGAGACGGTCCTCCCTTCCCAATGGGGAAGGGCTGCAGCTAAAAGAGAACTCAGTAAGATCCCCATGTCCTTGGTTTTCAGGAGAGGGGGTTGGTGCAAACACACTCTGGTCCCGTGTAAGACATTAGGGCTTCATCCAGGAATGGAAATGAGAAAAGCAGTGTCTAAGCCGATGGTCACACATGGTTGATGAGCTGGTGTTTGTATTTTTAACAGTGTAAATCAAGAACAATTACTGTATATAGGTTTGATTGTAGGAGTTGATATATACATATGTAATCTTTGATGGTTCAAAGATACTAGTTCTAGGTCTTTGTGAAGGAAGTGATAGGAAGCCACGCAGGAGGGCTGGAAATAACTCTAGCCATTGGCTCTAGCCCTGCTGCGACTCTGTCCCTTCATCCCTTTGCACTGTAGTTGTCCAGTTGGAGCCTCTGCCTGATGCTGTTCCAAATTAATATTTGTTTTCATTGGCCCAGAGCCCTCGCAGCCACAGGTGGCTCTGCAGTCAGAATGCCTTCTATTGATAAACCACAAAGCACATCTCCTGTCTCCAGCATCTGGGGAGTAAAGCGGCTGTCTCAGAAAGTTCTGAAGAAGTCTTTGGAAATGACTGGGTCCCTGAGCAGATCGTTTAGTCCTGTGGAGATGTGTTCACCGGGAAAACTGGGGGACATTGAGTGGGATGATCCAATCTGCCTACTCTCGTAATCTTGAGGATGTTTTCGTATAAAATTTCACAGCATTTGGAAAGATCTGGGAATCCCTTCTCAGTCTTAGAAATAGTGTCCTGTTTTTACACTCAGAATAATGATTACTGATTTATTTTGTCATTACTAGGTCACTTTAGAGTTAGAAGACACAGTTACTTATGGGACATGTCAGCTGTACTTATTTTCAAGGATAAAGGAAGCATCTGTAAGGCCTGTTCCAAAAGAACCAGAGTTGAGGACCCTAATGGCTAGGATAGTGGTTGCACTGGCTGTGGAATAACATGGCTCAGTGCAGTCAACCACTTATTAGCATTTATTTTCAAGATATTTATTCTTTGACTCTTAGTTTTCTATTCTGTAAAAAGAAATGTTAACAGTAATGACTACCAAATGGCAGAAGAAGCCTGTTAGAAGTAGGAAGTCCAATAGCCTGTGGAAAACATTAAATTTAATTAGTAATCTTTAATAAATGGTGGTGATTATTATCCTGAGAGCAGCCCCGACTCTCCTGGGATAAGGCTCCTTGAATTTTCTGTGTTTATTCGTTTGTGAATGGTAGATTATTCAATTCCTTTCATTCCTACTGGACAGGATTATTTTGAGAATTGAGTCATTATGAAAAAGGATTGAGAAAATATGAGGCACTAATGATAATGGGACATGAATGCCGGTAGCTTAATGTTGCTCTTTTCTCTGCTATTTCTCCCCTGCCACTGGGATGTCAAGTGATTTTAGTAAAAATAAGTAAGTGTGGACATTTGTCCCAGGTTTAGTTGGCGTTTCTCATTTTTATTAAATTCTTCCTCGAAATGGAGCCTTTTAACGTCTGTTGATGAGATGCATTTTAGGAGGGAGCCCTGACCCTCCCCTTGATGGTTCTGCAGCTCTATGAAACCCACACTCCCAGGCAGAGTGACCACACACCCTGGCCTCCCTTTATCCTGCCTCAACCACAGCCCCTTTTCCTCATGTCTGCCTTCCGTATTAGGCTTCTTCTTAGAGGTGAAGGCTAACATATACATGACAGAAAATTTACTGTTCTAACCATTTTCAGGTATTTGGTTCAGTAGCATTAACACGTTCCTGCCAGTTTGAACCAGTGGTGGTGCAAAGGGCTAATCCCTTTTATTGGTCTTTTTACTAATAAATTTAATAGAATCGCAGTAGGGAAGTCATGCTTCTACCACCAGAGGTGCATGCCACCTGTCAGCGAGACATACGAATTGCGGCCATGTTATGAATGTGTGAAATATATTCACATAATTGCACAACCACGACCATTGTCCAACACCGGAACTTTTCGTCTTGTCCAACTGAAACAGTGTTCATGAAACATTCACTCCCTATTCTTCCCTCCTCTAACCATTGGCAGCCACCATTCTATTTTTTCTTCCTCTCTCAATATGATCTTTAACACTCTCAGTACCTCACATAAACAGAACCATACAATATTCATCTTTTTGTTTCTGGCTTATTTTGCTTAGGAAACTGTCTTTAAGGTTAAATCCATGTTATGGTATGAGTCAGAACTTTCCTTTCAAGGGTGAATACTATTCCATTTCATGTGTACATTACATTTTGTTCATCCATTCATCTGTTAATGGGCACTTGAGGTGCCTTCATCTTTCGACCGTAGTAATAGTAATCATAATACTGTTTGAACATATCTATACGAATATCTCTTTGGGTTCCTGCTTTTAGATTTTTGGTTATATACCTGACAGTGGAATTGCTGGATGTGGTAATTCTGTTGCAGTATTCTGATGTTAATTTTGTTTTCTATAGTGGCTGTACCATGTTTAGACTCCCACCAGTACACAAGTGTTCCAGTTTCCTCACACCCTTGCTGACACATTATTTTCTGTTTTTTTAAATAATAGTCATGCTAATGGGTATGAGTACTGTTTCATTTTAGTTTTGATTTGCCTTTCCCTAATGGTTATGGATGTTAGTATTTTTAGTGCTCATTGACCCTTTATACATCTTCTTTAGGGTAACATCTATTTAAGTCCTTTAACCATTTTTTTAATTAGGTTGTCTATGTTGTTCGTGGTGGTCTTCTTTTTTTAAGAGAAGGAAAAATTTATCGAGGGAAAGAAAGCTTCTGTCCAGGAGAGACAGAAGGGGGACCAGAAAGTAGGTTGCCCACCCGCTTGTGTCTGTTGCACAGTCAGGTAATTACAAATAACAATACTGCACTACACATTTCAGGAAAGCTAGAAGGAAATATATTGAGGGGATGGGCCCTGGAACAAAAGGAAAAAAAATAGGGAAGAGAGGGCAGACTCTCTACCTGTTTCCGTGTGAATCTGTTGAGCATTGAGTCCTCATGCTGACTTGGTAGAGATGAGCTCATTGCTGTTCCATCCTATGGGAGCTGGAGGATAAAGAGTCATTGAGCGGTGAGTGGCATTACAGGGGAGCAAGTTTTTTAAATGTATTTTTATCGTGTATTAATTTTACAAAGTACTAAATTTTAGTATGTTATCTTCGTACATGCATATAACATCATTAGATCATAGCCGTCTCCTCATTACCCATCTTGACACTCTCTTCCCCTCCCTCATACCTTTCTTCTTGTCTAATAATAGAGCAAGTTTTGGTAAAGTTAAGAAGCCCAGTCCTTATGGAAGCCTAACTCAGATTAGCCACTCGTGGTCTGGGAACACTGGAGGAGAAGGATAGCTCAGGTAATGGAAGGCTTTCTCAAGAAAATGGCCTTTGAGCCATGGTCCTGAACAGTGAATAGGAGTGGTGAGGCTGGGGCTCTGTGGTAGAGTGCTTGCCTGGCATCCACAAAGCTGTGAGTTCGATCCCCAGTGTGCACACGGAGACACAGCACGCACACAAACACACAGAAGGGAAAATAATAATCCAATAAGCAAAGGGAGCTTCAGATAGAAGGCGCATGCAGGTACAGAGAGAGGCTGGCATGTGAGCACATGAGGCAAGCCCACCAGTGTCATGAGTACATGTGGTCAGCTGCAGGGTGGTAAGGTGGGAAGGCAGGCACAGCCAGCATTTCACATGTGATGGTTACCAGATTCCTTAACTGTGATCTTAACCATTTGACTTTCAACAAGAACATGATGAATCAAGGCTGGGTGCAGAGGGAAGAATCGAGTTGGGAAGGCTATGAGTGCAGACTTGGAGCCTGGGAAGCCAGTTAACAGGCTCCTGTGCAGAAATCCACATGAGGCATGATGGCCAGACTCAGGAGAGATCCTGTGAGCATAACACTTGAGGAGGCCAGGTGACTGGCTGCTTGAGGCAGGGTGGAGTTGAGGGTGGCAGGCGTCAGCAGAGCAGGTGCAGTTTGAAAGGTGAGGGATGGGCAGAGATGGTTCAGTTTTGAGTATGCTGGTTCTGTTTCCCAGGTGGAATTATTTTATAGGCAATTAGAAATAAAATTTGAAGCTCTGGAACACTCTAGAGGATTTCAGATTTGGGGAGTTATAAAGATTATAGCAGAAGTTGTAGATAATGACAGAAAAAAGTGGAGCACATACTATTATGGGCAAAAGTGGAGCAACAGGGTAAGTAACAGCATCACTTTATCACTTGCAAATAGAATCGGCAGAAAGAACGATGGCAAACAGCTGTGAGGGCTCCCTCCTCTATGGTCCTAATTTTCTCACTCCCTCCTTGACCTCTTTGACCCCAGTAAATATAGTCAAGTCAAAATATGGAATTCTGCAAGGTTTCTTTTATACACAATATTACCTTCTTCCTTGCAGGTAGAAGAAAACTTAAAATATTCCATCCAGTAATATGAAATTTACAATGAAAAGCAAGTATTACAGGAATGTTTTATTTGTTATCAGTGATATGCAGAAATCAGTGATATATTTCCTGACACTTCTTATATGGAGTGACAACAGGGTGGCTGAGTAGCAGTGATAGTTTCCTCACTACAGAGAATTATTATTTGGTCTAATGATTTTAAGGCAACATTCTCATTCCTCTTGCCCATTCATAAAGAATTATTTTATCCCGTTATTACAAGTACTCTTTCAGCCAAAGAAGTCAATTTAAACTTCCTGTTTTAAAACAAACCTTTTAAATTGGGCAGGGGGGCATAAATGCAGCTTTCTGTTCCACCACTTCTGCCCTCTATAGTGTATCTAGAAGGGGGGTCCTCTTCTGTGTTTGACTGAGATCTTGATAGTGGTGCCTTCTAAGAAAGAAGACCAGTTAGTGTCTGGTTCTATTTACATGTTTCAGGGGTTACAGAAATAATGTTTGAAAGGAGTCATAAAACTTTAAAGAGATACAGATTAAATTGTAGAATGTTCAGCACAGTAGTATTGTATCTGAAGAAATACAGGGGATTTGGGTGA